ATTAAAGAGAGTCGACTATACACAGCACTCAAAATGTTCTCAACTCTCTAGAATTTGGGAGTCGAATGTTCACCATATATAATCGACTCTTGAATACTCGAGAGTTGAATCTTTGTAGCTAGATTTGACTCTTTATTTAAAGGTATATATATAATGGCCTTGACCAACTATTAGTCAAAATGGTAATATCAGCAACAAGGGATATGTTGCTGATGTTTGGTTGGTAAAAAGATAAAAATAACAACAATATAGTATATGTTGCTAATACTTTAGGTGTGGTTGAAAAAGTTTCAGCAAGATAGCTCTTGTTGCTAAAAGTCACTTTCAGCAATAAGAAATATCTTGTTGAAAGTAGAGCTCAATTAGATGGGGAAATGATTGCCGAAAAATATCAACAACATGAGGTATGTTGTTGAAATTCACTTTCAGCAACAAGGAGTATGTTGTTGAAAGTAGAACAACTTTTTAGGGAAAAAATGTATTATGCAACTTTCAACAACGTGAGTCTTGTTGCTAATACAAATTTTCAGCAACAAAGGATCCCATGTTGCTGATATATTGTTGCTGAAGGCTTGAATTTTAGTAGTGTATAAAAAAATAATAAAAAAATTGTTCCTATATTACACCTAATTCATTTAACTAATGAATTATAGTATAATAAGTCAAGAACATAAAAAGAAAAGCAGTTAATTCTGGGAAAAAAAAAACAAAATGAAAGCAATTAAATACCAGTGACTCTTCTTTTTCCCTTGCCAACAAGAATTAATGCACTCTTCTTCCCCCTTTTTTTTTTTTTTCTGACAACGAATTAATATAATTAATTGATAATGAGTTATTTTTACTTTTTTTTGGTAATTAATTATAAGTTATTTTACATGATTGTTAATGTTAGTGAGTCTTTTATGTGCTATTTCTAGATGGCTTGTGGTGTTCACCCATAGCGCAAACACCCATGTCCATGTATATTCTCTGTAGACATTATTTAATATATTTAATAAAAGAAAAAGAAAAAAATGGAGAATCGAATTCTTTTCTAAATAAAAGAAGTGAAACTTTAATTTTATTGTAGAAATATTTTACATACAATAGCACAACCTTATAAAGAGTATAATAATTCATAAAATAAGCATCATCTTAAAATCTAAACAGTAAACAATGATTAACACAAATTAAAAGATAAAAGAGTATCCCAAATTAAACTATTAGGTTAACCAACAACCACTCAGAACTTATTTAGTTTAAGAAAAGTGAAGAAGAGAGGAGAAAAAAATATTTCATCTAATCAAATAAAGATATGGGTTTATCAATTTATTTTGATTAGCTGAAATAGTATTCTCTCGTATCTCCTTCACTTTTTTCAAACAAAACATACTCTTATACGATATATAAAAACCAACTAATTAATGATCCCATTTCTCAGTTTCTCCCCACTATAATTCTGTACAGATCAGCTTCATCATCTCTGTAAAGGGAGATCGTATGCCTATCTGTAATGCCTTTCTTCTCTCTGAATGCTTTCCACCCCCCAGTGAAAAATACCTGTCCGTTTTTATTTTCGATGGTAAGCGTCCACTGATTGTCCCCCTCATCTATAACTGGCAAGTCTCCGCACCGGCCGGGGTTGTTGCAACCAAATGGAAGATATGTCCACTTGACGTCATCACGATGAGGAAACTTCATTCTGCTTCCAGTGTCAGTGCTCTCAATGCTCTTATTCTCAAAGATGATCGCCATTGTGTTGGATTGAATAGAGTGCGCTTTGATGTAAGAGAGAGAGAGGTTGAGAACTAGAATGACATCGGCTCTTAGATCGATCTATATTTATAGCCAAAGATATCAATTAACCATCTCGCTTGATTAATTAAACAAATAGATTACGTACGTATTATTGTGATAAGATTTTGTTGTTTTGCAAGATGTGAATTGCGGCTTCATTAAGTAACGGATTGATCGATCGAGAACTTATTACTTTCGAGAGATGATAGCGATGAGTCCAAGGGATCCAAAGCTGGTAAAAGTCGCGAAATTAGACGATTGATGGAGTTACACTTTCGAGACTTTAATAGCTATGGTGATGTTAGACAGTTAGATTAATCAATTTCTATACTCTTAACTGGCAGTGGCACCGTCCTCAAGCTGCCGATGTTTCGTTTTCATGCTGAACTCGAGTAGTTAATAATTAGTAAGCATACGAGGTAGTTAGGATTTGGTTTTGACAGGGAGAGAAGCCGACAGTTTTCTTGCGACTTCTAGTTCCTAATAACGTGAGAGATGAAAAAAAAAAATCGAGATGTTTTATATATTAAACTCACCTTTAATTACCAAAAAAAAAAAAACTCGCCTTTGAATTGTTCCAACTTATTATCTTTAGGCAATTTGTCAATATTCAATACTATATCTACACCATAAATATTTGTTTTTATCAGCAAAATAATATATGTTGTTTTATCGCGAGATGTAGCAGCAGGATAGGGTTTATGCCAGCGAGTTGGTGATTTACAGACTGTCGGTAGCTTTGCTGACGAGATGTGGGTTTGTCGTTGGGGCTGATGATGCCGTGTCTTGGTAGCCAAGTTCCGACTTCCAGTATGGTTTTGAATGCTAGAAATTGAATCACTGACGGCCCAGGCCCTCGATCTAAACTTTTGAGAAAAATATTTTTTAGTCCCTTGAGTTATATTTTAATAATTTTCATCCATATTTTTATTTATTTTTTTTTTTTTGAACAGCGAAAGTGTTATTTATTAATATACGGAATACAAGGGGTACTCCAAACCTGCAGATAACAAAACTTAATACAAGGTGTCGACACCCAAACAAAGTGTCGACACTATGTCCGTAACGAGGATTCTGGCCTCTTTTGCCAAATCATCAAAACACCCTGTTCAGATCAACCAACCATGACCCGGACCACCCCAACAGACCCACAGGGCATTGATCATGTATTGACTATAGCTAAATCTACTATAGTCAATGCTTGCTCAATACAACCTTTGTGAGCCCCCAAAAACTCATCAATTCACCCTCAGAAGCAGAAACAGAAAAATACAAAACCATAGGTAATGCCTCCCAGAAATCAACTACCCTCTCCTCCTACTACTAACTCATTTGGTACCCTTCTTTTCCTGCGGCAATCATACAAGCATGCTACTGGATTAAGAAACCAGTCTGTTAACGAGAAGGCATACCTTTCTTTTTTGGTTGTGATCCATTGGAAAGACTTTAATTGGATGAGCTCCAGCAGCTTCTCCCGGATAATCTCTTTGCCTTGGTAAATTTTTTGATTACGGGCTAGCCACACTGTCCACACTAAAGAATTCCATATGCAATCCCATCCGTCTCTAATACATTTGTCTTTATGTTCTCTTTCATGATTCCGGAAAGTATTCCAACAGTCCTCTTCCAAAGTGACATTAATTCCCCACCACTTTGCACAAGCCATCCATAACCATCGGACTATGTTGCATCTTAAGAACAAATGCTTAGTATCCTCTTCTTCCTCACCACAAATTTCGCACTTGCATTCTCGAATGTCCTTTATGATTCCTCTTGCCAGTAGATTCATTTTTGTTGGAATCCTGTCTTGCAGTAACTGCCAATTGAATGCCGAGATTTTACTTGGCAAAATAGGGTTCCATATTCTTGAGAAGGTAGTATTTTCAGTTGTTTCCCTCTCCTCTTTGGTTAGAGTTGCGTATGCTGAATTTGTTGAGTATATGCCATCCTTGCTGTGGGCCCATTTCCAGGTATCCCTGCAACCCTGAGAGATCTGCACGTTTTGGATCTTGTTGAGTAATTCCATTGACTCTTCCTTTTCCCAATCAAACAAGTTCCTCCTCCATGATAACTTCCACTCCCATGATCCGTTGGTTCTCCTTCCCATTTCACAGCACCTCTTCATCTTTTCTGTAGATAGCATATACAGTCTTGGGAACATGTTTGCAAGACACTCTTCCCCCGTCCATTTATCCCACCAGAAACTAACTGAATTGCCCTCCCCAATGATAACCCTGAAACCCTCTTTTAACCAACCATAGCAACCCCCATCCATTGAGTTTAAATCACACACATCTCTCCACCAAGATGATCCTATTCCTCTATTTTCAGCAGTCCAATCCTGCCAATGACCCCCTCCATAACCATACTTCTCTACAATTATTTTTTTCCACATGCTCTCCCCATTTTCAGCAAGCCGACCCCACCATTTACCCATCAATGCCAAATTGAACTTCCTTAAATCCCTCACTCCTAGCCCTCCTTCCTCTTTCTTTTTACATACTTTGTCCCAACTAATCCAGTTTATTTTTCTCTCATCTCCCTTCCCTCCCCATAAAAAGCTTTTACGGAGTTTGTCAATAGAATGAATTATACCTTTTGGGATGACAAAGACGGACATTAAGAACACTGGGAGGCTTGATAGCACTGAATTGATGAGCGTGATGCGACCACCCCTCGAGAGATACCTCCCCTTCCAGCTGGCTAGCTTCTTTCTAACAGACTCCACCATAGGCTGCCACATGGCTTTCCTTCTATGATTCCCGCCAATTGGAATTCCCAAATATTTGAATGGCAATTTCCCTTCCTTGCAGCACAAATGGTATGCCATTCTAGCACTCCAATTTTGGTCAACGCCCACTCCTATCAACTGGCTCTTTCTAAAATTAATCTTCAACCCCGAGGCTAACTCGAATGTTCTCATAATACACTTAATCACCATAATATTGTCTTCCGATGCCTCCCCAAAGAAAATTGTGTCGTCCGCGAATTGGAGGTGTGTGACCATCACATTTCCACTCCCAATGCCCACTCCTTTGTACCTTTCTTTCTCCACAGCCGATGACATTAGTCCATTCAGCCCCTCTGCGACAATCAAGAAAAGGAATGGGGATAAAGGATCTCCTTGACGGATGCCTTTATAAACCGGGAATTGATTCGTCGGACTGCCATTGACTAGAATCGAGATCAAACTTGAATTCAAGCATTCCTGAATCCATTTCCTCCAAGTTTCACAGAATCCCATCCTCATCATCATATAGTCTATAAATTCCCAGCTTACTTTGTCGTAGGCTTTCTCAAAATCAGCTTTAAATAGGAATCCCTTCTTCTTTTTCCTCTTGAATTCATCGAGAATCTCATTTGCGATCACTGCCCCTTCCACTAACTGCCTTCCTTCAATAAAAGCCATCTGCTGCTCCCCAATCACCTTCGGTAATACCTTTCGAAGTCGATTCGCTAATAGTTTTGCAATGATCTTATACGTGACACCTATTAGCGAAATGGGTCTGAATTCCTCGATTGCCTGTGGATTATCTGTCTTTGGGATTAATACAATAAAGGAGGCATTTGATCCCCTGACCAGCCGGCCATGATGATGAAATTCCTGAACAAAGTTGATTATGTCTTCTTTGATATCCTCCCACATTGACATAATAAACCGGAAGTTGAATCCATCTGGTCCTGGGGCTTTGGATGGATCACAGTTCCAAATTGCCTCTTTTATCTCCTGTTCCGAAAAAGTGGAGGTGAGGAGCTCATTATCCATTTGTGAGATTTTCCTAAAGCTTATGCCATCAAGCTTTGGTCTCCTCCAACTTTCTTCTGTAAACAAAACTTGAAAGTATTTAGCAATCTCCCGCTTCATTGCCTCCACTCCTGTATACTGCTCCCCATTTATCCGGATGCTGTTGATTACGTTTCTGTTCCATCTTCCCTTGATGCTTCTATGGAAGAATTTTGAGTTCGCGTCACCTTCCTTTAGCCACTGCTTTCTTGATTTTTGTTGACTCATCCTCTCCTTGATCTTCATGTACTTCCACAGTTCGATAAAGCTATTCCTTCTCATATCAACATCGTTCTCCGATAACTGGTGCTGCTCTCCTTTCTCATCAATTGCAGCGATCACAAGTTCTGCCTCCTTTATTTTTCCGTCCATCTCCCTGTTGGACTTGCCACTCCACTCTTTTAGCGCCTTCTTTGTTCTTTTCAGCTTTTCTTTGAATTTAAATCCATTCCAGCCCTTCACATCTTTGTCTCTCCATACCCTTGCAATCACTTCCTTACATCCAGGTTGATCCAACCACGCATCAAAAAATCTGAACGGTTTTGGACCCCAGTCGATCAGCTCATTTTTTACCAGAATAGGACAGTGATCCGATATAGACCTCTTCAACCCCCACTGTTTCATTTCACTCCACTTTGATAGCCATTTTTCAGAAAACAGAAATCTATCAATTCTGCTCATTTGTTGCCCATTAGAATTATACCAAGTGTATTTTCTCCTTATCAGCGGCAAATCAAACAACTCAGAATTGTGGATGAAAGCATCGAACTCCCTCATTTCGCTTGACACCGCCTTACATCCAGCTCTTTCCTCAATCCTCCTTACAGCATTAAAATCCCCCATTAAGCACCATAATCCCTTTCTGTTGTTTACTAAACTTTGCAGCTCCTCCCATAAGGCTCTTTTATTTGGAAGATGACACGGGGAATAAATATTTAAAATGAATATTGGTATCTCCTCCGAACCCCACATACCAAATACCCCTAAAAAATTATCCCCCTCTAGAATCTCTATCCTCTTCAGAATTTTTGAGTCCCAGACACATATCAAACCTCCAGACAAGCCATTAGACGGTTTTGCAATCCAATCCATATCCTCAGATCCCCATAAATTTCTACATATCATCCTATCAACTGTACCCATCTTGGTTTCTTGTAAAGCTAAAAACTGAATTTTTTCTTTGATAACTAACTCCCTGATCTGAGCTTTCTTCCCTACCCCTCCAAGCCCCCTAACATTAAATGACAACATTATCATTGGGAGCATCACATACCTTCCTACAGCCTTCTTCCTCTCGGTTCACCATACTCCTCTTTGCATCTCGATCTCTAATCTCCATCTCCTCTAATCGTTGGATCACCTCTTCGTCATTCTCTGCCACCGCTCCGAGCTGCGTCGCCAAATCCCATATATCCTTTGCGAGTTGGTTTTGCCACTGTTTCTTCAATGCTCTGTTAACATTAATAATATCACTGTCACCTACCGAATCTCCAGCCGCCTTTCCATCCTGGTTCGACGTGAAGATTGGGTCTTGTCTCTCCTCCCTCTGTTGCGGGTTCATCTTCTTTCTTCCTCTCTTCCTTCCAACCGACGCCTCACTGGATCTGGTTTGACCATACACCGAACTACACCTTCGAACCTTCCTTCTGCGATTTTTTGAGTTGATTTCCACCAGCTGTTTGCCGATCCATACTTCTATTCGGCTTCTCTCTGATTCATGTCCCTTCCAGAAGGCATCTTCTTCACCATCGCCCTTATCTTCTGCGGGATCTCCACTTCCAGAATGGTCCCTGATATGGGATGAAATTACCGGCACCTTTAATGTTTCAACTTGGGCCACTTCCACGTTTGTGGACTCTACTGCCATTGGGCTTTCCTTCTGCGGGGTGGGCCTTGCCATTGGCTGATCTTTGGGCTTCAAATTGTGGTTAGTATCTTCATTTTCTTTTCCTCCAATTTCCGCCAACGGGGCCTGCATCTTCAGTCCTACAGCCACGCCATCTGGACACCCGCTTCTCTCACTTTCGTTTGAATTTTGAATCACGTCCAGGTTGTCACCAACGGTTTCTGCTGCTCCCCCAATTCCCTGGCTGGTTTGAATTGACTTAATCCTTTCTTCCTCTTTCCTACGACTTCTTGCGTCATCATCTTCTTCTACGGGTCGCCCAGATTGAACCTCCACGTTCCTCCTTTCATCTTCCTCGGCCAACATCCCCGGCTCTGTTCCAGAAGACCAAGATTCCTGATCTTCGGACTCACTATTGAAAGAGGGGATAAAATCGTGCTTCAAGGAGAAAAAGCAATTGGTTGCTTCCTCTTCTGTGAATTTCATCTTGAATATGTTTCCGTTGATTTTGATTTCCCTTGAGACTGAAATTGTCTCCATTATTGGGGTAGAAATCAAAAATCTTGCTATGTCGAACCTCTCCTTCTTGCTTGTGCTGTCATCCAAGCAAATAAACTTACCCCATGAACTTCCCATAGTTGAGAAGAAATCGCTTCCCCATACATTCACCGGTGCCCCTTGACACCTTAACCATACATATCTCTCTTTTGCAATCAGCTGTGGTGTCCATGGCTTCACCTCTTCAAACCATTGCCTTAGCCAATCTGCAGCCATTTCGACTAAATCTTTCACTTCGTCCTTGTCTTGACCAGTTAGCAGTACCATTTTGCCTCCCATTGCACGGATTTGACAAGAAAAATACCCTTCCATATAAAATTTTTCTTGTAAGTTGCGTACCATCTCCACGGAATGCACTATACCCACATAACTGCCATCGAGCCAAGCATACTCTTCAGGGTTTACATTGAACTCCATCCCTGCCCATTTCGCTCCCTTTCCTCTTTCTTTCCACACTTTCCTGTTAGTAGTATGCCGGGGCTGGTGTCTATCACTATCTCTGTTATTCCCTTGCTTGTTTTGCCCTGCATCCTTCTTCCATTCTTTGTCATTTCTTCTTCCCCTGTCTCGGCCTTCCATGCTATGAGTGCTTTGATCCCCTACTAGTTCCTTCTCTTGCCTTCCTTTCACCACCTCTGCATAACTTCTATTCTGATCTCCTGTCAGCCTACCAGAGCTTATTCTTATCTCCCCGCCTTCTTGCTTCTCAGTTTCATACCTGGGAATATTCACCCACAATTTCTGGTCTTTTACCCGGATCTGATCCAGCTTTCTTTCCAGTTCCTTCCTGTTTGTCACTCCTAAAAATCTCACAAAGCCGAATCTACTTCCATTCCTACTTCTTCTATTTGGGGAATAGATGTCGTAGACTCTGCCGAATTTCAGGAACGTACTCCACATTTCTTCATAGCTCCAATCATCCGGAATATTGGTAAAGAAAAATGTTGTTGCTTGTTTATATAGACCCCAATTATAAGGCCCGTCTCTCTGCTTATTTCGGCTCTGGTACTGATCATCCTTTGTTTTCCCTCTAACCCTCGGTTCCTTGCTCCTGTGATAGCTTCTTCTCCGAACTCCGCCCTGCTCCCATTTCAACGCCGACTGTCTATCCCTTGAACGATGTCCGCCACGGACCCTTCTCTCTCTCTCTCTACCTCTCATCTCTCTTTGTCCGCCCATCCATATTTTTATTTATATATTTCATTCCCATTTTAAGTTTGTTAATTTCTTTTTAGTTATTGAAGATTACATTTTGTGATTACGAGCGATAGAAAAGGTAAAGATAATATAAATGTGCGGAAAAATGAAGATTAACCAAATAAAAATTATTTACTATCATCATTTTACAAATTGTTTTTTTATTGATAGCCTTATACTTTCCCTATCTTATCCATTATTGGTGTTTTTTAGTAGTCATACCCTCTCAACTTTATTTAATTAAATTAACTAGGTGATTTTATATAGCAAATGAATAACAATTAAAAAAAACTTTTAATCTAAGTGAAAATTAATCAATAAGAATAATGTATAAAAAGAAAAAAAATTTCAATAAGAACAATGTTTGTCGTTTTGTTGACATTCTGGAAGGTCGAGTAATTTAATTACAGATAGATATTAATCAACCTGTTCTAACTGCTGGCATCCGCGCTACCTCACGCTACTTCGCACGGACAATTTTTATGTTTAATTTCATGGACTTGACTTATTAATTACTATGGTATATTCTGGTAGTTAGGATTTGATTTTGCTTATTCATATGAATTAAAATATTCAAACTCATGGCATTTTTAGAGTATTATATTGGCATGTTTGGAGCTCACGCAATAGTCATATTTGCATGATTTCATACTTTAAGAATATAACTAATAAGATTTTGACTTAATTGGTATATATTAATTTAAAATTTTTACTTTAAAATTAATGTTAAAGATTTAAATTTCTATATTATCAAACAATTAATCCTCTGTTAAACAAATAATAATAATAATTTAGGGTTAGATGATTAGGAGATTAAGCAACTTTGATTGGTAGTTGGAAGGGTTGGAATAGTTCTAAATTTCTAACAGGTTTGTTTCTCTGGCACGCATGGTTCAAATTGTCTTATCCCATTTTTGTCTTATGTATCTATCTTGAAATGCCTAAGGTTGGAGGACCATTAGCAAACCGAAAAGTTAAATTAATCTCTTACAATTAAACATGAAAAAGAGGGTTTTGACCTGTTCAACTTATCTTTGGCCAACTTCATACACATATGTAACTTTTATATAAAATTATTAGAAGTTGATTCTTTAATCTTATGGATTAAAACATATTATTAAAGAAATGTGAATTTTCAAATCAGCTTGTAAAAGAAAAAAAAAAGTGCAGGAATGTTTATGAAAAAAATGTAAACATCATTAATGAATTGACATATATGCATGGTAATTCATTTAAGATATTTTAATATTTTCACAAGTATTTTTATATTTTTTTTTATAGATCGACTTAAAAAATATTTTTAATTTGTATTATTAATATAATATATTATAAATATTATTTAAATTACTAAACATTAATTTTTAAATTCAATTGTTAAAAAGATACCATATTGTACTTGCTTGTATTTTACCATAAGGAAAAGAAAAGGAAAAAAAAAAACGAAGAAAAACTTATCAGTTTTGAAAGAAGAACTTGAACTGCACGCTCGGCTTATCTTTAACAAATCTAGGTAGTTTAATTTATGTTCTGGCATAAAAATGAACTAATATGTGATTTAATTTATGTTTTAATAAACTAATAGACCCTCTCAGTTCATTTTTAGTACATTTAATTTTTTTATCTAATAAAATAGAGATATAATAATTTATTTATAAAATTTTATATTTATTTTTAATTAAATAGCACTTAAATAATTTTTTTTAATATATGTTGTAATCATTTTTTAAAATAAAATAAAATAAAATAAATACATTAAATAATATTTTAAAAAATAAATAATTAAATTTAAACTTTTGAAATAAAAAAATTAAATTTATTAAAATTGAACTCACGAAGTATATAAGTTGAAATTTCATTTTTTTTATGATTCTATGTGAACTTGTGAAGGGTCAATTGCGGCACCGGCAAGACAAACATATATACACACCTAGCGTTGGCGCGCGCGGGATATGATGTCACAACGATGAAGTCATTTACATTACGTGGGTCAAGTCTCCCAATTTTTGGGTGATGAAAGGCCACACGCTGATCCCAATTTTTTGGTGATCTGTCCCTATTCTGTGAACCTCTTTTTCAGTTTTTCTCACAGTCTGCGTTTTTTCTTTTTCCCTTTTTTGGGTACTGTGGCAATCATTAATCCACTGCAGCCTCAGCATTTGGGGCATTTAAGTTGATAATCCTTCTGTTTTCTCTTTCTTTATTTCATCATTTGCTTCCTTGGATTATTTGGAGTATTATCATACCATGCTTCCAGTTTTTTTTTTCTTGCATTCTGTTTCCTTGATTCTTTCTGTGGGTGGGTTGGGACATTTGATTCATGCATGAGCCAGACCACCATCAGGTTGAGAGGTAAGG